CCTTTAATGCACATTATGTCTAACAGAGCCCCCTGCAGTAGGGCACCAGACTGAATCTTAGCGATGGATGACTCATCTGTCACTATAGATGCTGTTGGAGGCCACAGTTTAAAGGAGAACTATGAGGCGAGTGATTTCCACTCACCTCATAGTTCGAGGCGACCTGTGACAATGAGACTGTCACAGGTCGGCTCAGTAGATCGGGAGGTGAGCGAACACATACCGGCGCTCGCTCACTTCTCGATCCTGTCACGGCTCTCTGCCGTGACAGGGGGAGGGGCTGGATTCCCCTCTCCCCACTCCGATCTGCCAGTGCTGACTGGCAAAACAGTCCCGGAGGGGGCGGGTACAGCTGGCTCTACCTCCTCTAGATAGGCAGAGCCAGCTGTCACTCACGCAGCTGGGCGGATCTCGACATCGATGTCGGGATCCGCTGCGGCGTTTCAGTATACCGCGAGCTGTAGCTCCCTATATACTGAGCTTAGGGTGACGGGAGGACGCTAGTTTGTGTCCTCCCGTTACCCTAAGGAGAACTATAGGGAAAAACACTGACCCCATAGTTCTCCTTTTAAGACGGGGCTCTGACAGCATCTATAACCAATGACGTCATCAGCTGCGAAGGCTGCCGGGTGCATTACTGGTGCCTCTCTAGAGCCGTAGGACCGGAGGCCTCAGTCTGCAGGGAGCCAAGTTATCCTGCAGCGCACCACTACGGTCCCGCTGACACCTGGATCCACAGGTCGTCACCAGGTCTGTCCCTACACTTATTTGGTGTGTTGTGCATTTTGGGTGCTTCCTGTATATGGTTGCGAGAGGGGGGGATTGGCAGATGAGAGGGGGGGCTGGGTGCTGCCAGTATATGGTCATTCCAGATGGGGGGCTATCACTGCGTTTATTAATGGCTCAGAACGCAGTAGAGATGCCTTGAGATTTTGCATCGTTTATAAAGCATGCCTTCCGTTAAAGGTTGAGAAACATAGTATGTATACAGAGATACATCAACATGTGTCCTTTATCTGCCTGGAGTTCAGCTTTAGTTGATTGCTGGTCATGTGATGTCACCCCCCTCTGACCCGGTTCTGCCAATATCTGTGAACGAAGTCTTGGGGAAACGGGCTGAACAAACACGGAGCCTGGAATAAATATCTGTCCTATCGTCTTCAAATATGGCCGCTACGTAATGTGTACCCCAAGAATGCGATCAGGAGATGGTCACAGTGCTTCCTGTCTGC